CTGTGATGGGACTGGGGATGCCAGCTTGACACCGAGACAAGGCTCTGTCCCTGAAAGACTGCTTAGCCAGTCAGGCAGAAATAAAAATACACAGCATATAAGAGAGCACACATAGAGAAGGCCTGTATCGGGGACTTTTTTTTTCCTATGTGTTTTAAAAATGAATATTTAGTGCATCAGTTGCAACTTGGTTATTCAGTATTCTCCTGAGGGCTGTTCCCTTGCTAGATATCCTGAGGGAAACATAAACATGTTTTAAACAACACTAATGGAGTTTTTTGAATTCTTGGTTTATATAAACTTTTCCCCCTTTCTGTGAAAAATCTCTTTTTGGTGGCTATTAAAACACGTAGAAGGACAAAAAAGATTGAGCCTGTAATATCCTTCTTACACAAGACTTTTTGGTATCGAGGTATACTTTGGATGCATCTGGAGTTTCATACCAAAGGTAATTTCTGAGTTCCACCTGATTCAGGATATTGTCCTTCTGGTCCCTGTCCTTTCTTACATCACATCACTCCATAACAAAAATGTTACATAAACTAGGTATTAAACATGCTTTTGCTTTTTATCATGGGGCCTTGAGGAAGACCCATCTCAATTTCATCTTTGCTAAATACAGATCATTTGTTCTCAACAATTATCCTGCACGACTCCAGTGAGATCTGCAGTCTGCAGACCTGTAGCTGGTACAGGAAAGGTCATACTACTTGATGTGACCTGAGCAGGCTCAAGGAGGGCAGTTGCTTCTGTAGATACTTTAATTCTGCCCTTGGGATTTGTATAACTGCCACTGGGAGTAATCTCAACAGCTCGCTAAATACTCTCATATCCAGAGGGCATGTCATTCAGCACATTGACTTTCTGGATGATCTTTCCATAGAATTCAATGTCCTTGGATAAGGACATTGAAGGTCCTTGTCATGGATAAGGCAGTTGAACTTAGTTATCCTAGAGTCATAAGAATATTGCTCAAAACCTCCCACAGTTTGTATAAGTGTATGGAAAATGACCCTAAAGGAGAAAAACATAACTTGGCACAACCCATCTTCCTCTACTTCAAATCCCACCAATTATATTGAGTAACTAAGGTAAGTGCTAGGGTTGACAGGAATCAGGTATGTGTTGTGCAGTGCATTCCTTTATGCCACATGCTTCATATCCACAGAGCATTGGATTGACAGCCTTTAGGTATGTTTGGAGGATCATGCCTGCTTTTACATTCCTCTTCTCTTTCCATTCCTGGATTATTGGCAAAATTGGTCTGCCATTTGTTCAGAAAACAGTAGTTTGATGAGCCATGGGTCTGAGCTCTTGTTCGTACTATCTGTTCTTGCTGTTCCTCTCCTGAGAAGCAGCTGTTTATGCTAGCTGGTTTTCGAAGGTCTGAATGGGACCTTCTGACTAAACTGAGTGTTATTCTTCAGCACTCTGTATTCTTTGTATTCTCATGTGACTGGATTCCATTTGAAATTAATTTCACTGGTTTATAGAGATCTAAAGGACTCCTTGTTCTGTCAGATTCAAAATGTCAGCCTACACCTCACATATGCCCTTTGAGTAGTTTCCACTAAGAATCAAAATTTACCAGGCAATTAAGGTTTTTCTGGGCTGCCTATATGATGGAAAAGTATTTTTTTCCTGAAGTCTGATGCCTTGTATCTCCACTTCTCTTTAAAAACACAGAAAATGTGGTTTCACCTGTTTGGAGACTGGCACTGGTGCTTACTTTATGGGACATTTTACCAACAATAGATACTACTGATGCTCCACTTTAAGGTTTGCACAGTGACCTGTAAATTCACAAATGACAAATCATGTCTTACTCACTGTCACACTGACAGCTACAGCATGTTTGAGTTAACAAGGAGAAATAAGAAAATTAGGATGGCAGTGTGGTATTATTGACAGCTCAAGTAAACTGGAACTTGCTTCTCTTTCACAGAACTACATAGCCTAAACAGGATGATATTAGAAACCTTTTGTGAAAGATCTGTTAACAAGGGTTCCTTCAATAGAGGTGAAATGGGACTAGTTAGATAATAGAATGTATTTCTTCTTAAATAAATAAATTATTCTTCCAAAATGTTGATGCAAGATCTGGGTTCATCTTGGTTTTTAATCTATTGCTCATGTAAATAAATACTCCGGTCTGGGGAGGGCTGTAGTTAGCTATGAGTCAGTGCAGAAACTAGACAGAGACTTTTAAAATAAAAGGAAGAGCAGACATGGGAATTCAGTGTATCCACCTCTTCATTACAGAAGCAACTGAAGCATAATGGGGAAGGATGATAAACAGAAGAAATGAACTCGACAGCTCCTCCACACAAGGCAAAGGAATGGATTTTCTGTGCGAGATGTGCCCCTAGTGTGTCTGTATTACTTTGTATAAAAGCCTCACAGTCTTTGTTTGGCTGGAAATGAATGAGGCAGGCAGTATGCAGCTCAGGGACTGTAAGGTTGCCTGCATTGCTGTCTTGGCGAGGAGAAGTTTCTGGTGAACTTGGAGAGGAGCTTAGAGGCTGTCAGAGAGTCAAGGTGACATGCATTTGGTCATGCTAGAGAGAAGGAGAAATCATCTCGCAGGGAGAATGTATCTCTGTACCAATGTCTAAGTCCCATGTATTTTGAAAGCTTGCACTCAGTATATGCAACTGCAGAAAATTGAGAAGCCTGGACACATGTTGTTAATGCAGAATGTTAAATCTAGTTCTGTTTAAAAGGCTTCAGTAATATTTCAGCTTTTTTTTTAAGTGGTGCAAGGAAATTTCAGTGGTGTGCTGAGAACACTTCCTAGGCATCCTCATATTGTAATTTGTGCAGTTATTGTTTTAGGGCAGGATACAAGACTCCTCCTGTGTCTTTATCCTTCTAGAGGGCAAGAGAGTAGAATTTAAGATAAAAGAAGTCCACTAATCTCCTTGTCCTCAATACCCAACCTCTATCCCACAAGGCACTTTTCTATGATATATACAGCTTTTCCTATGTGTGCTGCCCTTCAGGAATTTCAGAGAGATCTGATGCCTTTAATAAAGGGACTTAAGTATACTCAAAATACACCTCAGCCAGAGTCCCCAGCTCTGCAAATATAGGGCACAGGCACTGTTTGGGGAAAACCATACTCTATAATTTTACCTTCTGGCTTCTGTTGCCCAAAGTCAAGTCAAAAAGTTTGCATCACTTCAAAGGGAGAGGCAATGGAAGACTTTTCCCAGTTGATGCTTTCCAGACCCCAGTTTCTGGATGACAGAAAAGGGTTTCCCTGTGAGCTGGAGGAAGACTTCCCATCTGCTGCTCTTACAGCAGCAAAGAGGGGAAGAGAGGTGGAGTTCAGGGACCAGAAGAACAAGACAACACAAAACTTGCAAGGCATTATAAAGGGGACACTTCTGATGTGTGAAGCACGGTCAACTGGGGAGTCTCAAGGAGAATGTAAGACATGAATTGTGTGCTAGGGAAATAAACAAATTCATTCGAGTGTTCCTGAGCTGTATTTTTTTCATTGGGCTGTCTGCATAAGTGAAGGGAACAGTCTGAATTAATTGGGGTGGTTTGTGTGTGGAGAGCAGAACTAATTAGGACTGTGTAGAGTTGCAAGTATAGATGAAAAATCATGTGTGTTTAGGGAGCAGAATCAATTAGGAACCTGCATCGAAGGGACTGGGAGATTGTCCAGTTATAAGATTATTCGATTAGGAAAACTCTTTAGTGTTTTGGGGGAATGGAAATGCTTTTTTTTAGATGATAAGGAGGCAGAACAAGATGAAGAAGATAGAGCAAAGGAAAAATTAAAAGGAAAACTATCCTTAAGTTTACTCACCTTCCTCCACCTAAAATTAATTCCCTCCCCTCAGGATTCTTGTTCTCTTTCCATCTTTAATGCAAAGGCAATTGAAAATAGCCTAAGAGGAAGAAAATGCCTTGCCTTCTTCCCAAATCAAAGGGCCAATGCCCTCCCTTCTGTTTCCATGCATTGGCATGAAGTACTGAGGGCTGATGAGCTCTTCTCTGTCCTTCCTTTGTATAAACTTCAGGAGCGGGGCAAGAGAAGCTACAGATGGGCCACCTCAGCACAGGGCTGCTTTCCCCTACCAATGGGGACTATGTGAAAAGCGTTACCATGTTCCTAAGATTGCAGATTCACTCATTTTCAAATCAGAACTGCTGTGTAAATTTGAATGCAGTTTTTCTCAGGGAGACTTGATGTTAGCAAGTATAGATTCTGTTTATATATGCTCATTCATACATATTTGTTTCTTTATATATCAATATTTTGAACTTTATAACACATTATGTTATCCAGTAATTTTTTATTTTCATTGTGTTTTTATAAATATGCTCAAAAGGCCCTCTGGCCCTGTCTGAGGAACACAATTATAATAATGAGCTGAGGTTTTAAATTTTGTAATGTAAAACAACTTATGAGTAACTATGTAAAGAGAAGATTGAGGCATTAATGTTCTCTGAAAATGAGAGAAAAGGAAACACTCATGTAAAATGAGAAGCAAGCAATACTAGGTGTTTTATGGTTTGCTTTGATAATATTTTTCTCTCTGGTTAAGAGAGAACTGGGCTCTTCAAATCCTAGGAGATTTCTTTGGCAAAACCTCTAGACTTTTCAAAGCCTGATTTATATGTACATAGGCACATTTTTAAAATGCTTTCTCACTAATATGAAACCTACTTTTAAATAAAAAAGGAAGGAAAATTATCAGCCCTTCTCCAAATTTTAGTAGGCCATGATTCTCCCAGCTCAGTTGGGCGCATGCTGCTTGGCCTCTCAGCCCTTTCTTGTGGGGGACCTGATGACTTCCATTTGCTCCCCTCTGTGTTACCTTTCCCGAGCTCATTCACAGCTGTCTTCATTATTCACAGCTCTGAACTGATGAAAGGAGAAAAAAGAGGAGTGTTTTATCTGTATGTTAATTGTGAGAACGCTTCAGGAGGGGAAGGTGGGCAGGGGAGCTGTGGAGGTGGTGACTTCTGCTGTTGCCTTGCAGGAATGTCAGCTCTGCTGGAGAGGAGGCTCGCAGAAGAATGAGGGAGTGTGATGGCCTGACGGACGCATTGCTGTACGTGATCCAGTCTGCTCTGGGGAGCAGTGAAATTGATAGTAAGGTTTGTCATCTTTGTCTTTTTAGGACCCAGGTACTCGGGGTACATCAGGACTATAAAGTGACAGTGCATTTTTAAAGCAATGCATTGTGAGGAATGCCTTGGCAAACCATGATTTAGCCCATTTTTTTATTTCCCTTCTTTTAAGCTATTGATTGTTATGTGCTAAGTTTTAAATCTGTGTCTGCTAGTGTAGTGTGCACAGGTAAGTGTGTCATCCTCTCATTTGAATTATTAAGGGAGAAAACAGGATATTGATTTAAAAGCGAATCTATCATATTCCCTGTAAATTTCCTTACTGCTCTGCCAGGTTTACCTTAAATTGATTTTCAGTACCCACTATGGGACAGAGCTGAGAACAGTGAGGTAGGCTTACAAGTCAAAAAAAAAAAAAACAGAAAACAAAAAATTGTGCAATTAATAGGCAGTTTTGCAGTAATACCAACATTATTACTTCTTTGAAGGTGATCAATGAATGCTTTCAGTAATGATGAAACTGAAAAATTTCTGTAGGAATGAGAAATACAAGGGCCCTTGAAATTTCAGTGCTACAAGTCAAAAAGGAGTGAAGTCTGTCCAAGTGCAAGACTGGAACCAGCTTTCTGTGCTTGTAGAGTTCACCTTAGCGAAGGTTTCTGTTGCATTTGAGTCTTGGAAGTTTGCGTATCAGTTTTTAGTTTGAGGTAACATTATCCTCACGGTGGACTGGGTTTAGTTGTTTTTGACATAATGAGAATTTTAAGTGTAAAATTATTATTTGTAAAAATAATAATTAAAATTTAGAACCCTAATCAACAAACACAAGGCTTCAACTTCATCATGCTATGGTTTTGCAAAAGTAAATATTAGCGAGAGTGAATAAAATTCACATATGGAAAAGTTAAATAAAAGTAAAAGAAGTAGAAATCCTTTTTTAAAAGTTTATGGTCACTATGAAGTCTGCAAAACTTTCAGGTATGAAAGGTGCACTAAGAATGCTTTCTACGCACACATAAATAGTTCTGCATGTGTTTATGTATTTGGCTTGAGATTTCCAATTAGTGCAAGTGTAATGTGAAATTTCACCTATGTTTAAAAAGAAGTATTACTGTCTAGATGAGTCTGAGTTCAGCATAATTTCTGGAACTTAGTCATCGCAAAAAAGGTCTGCCAAATGCATACCTGGCATAAACTCATACAGTATATGAAAGTAAATGAATCCTCATCTGTTTTCCTCACTGATGAATATGGCAGAGTAAGGCAAAGCCAAAAGCCTCACAGTCATTCCATTCTGATTTAATGGAGCAACAGAGCTGGGATGTAGTGACTATCACTTTTTATCTCCACGGAGCATCAGAAACAGCCAAAATAAATATAGATATGGACTGGCTTTTTTAACTGTGCTTTCCCTGCTTCCAGAAAGTTAAGCTCATATTCTTCTTAAGGATAGTCAAACCAGATTGAACCAAGTAAATGAGGCTTCAAGTAAGTCTAATCTGAACTTCTTTTAGACTTGCAAAAATTATGTTGAATTATCTGTGAATTTTCCTCCACTGGGTCTCAGTCCATTTCTGGATTTCTGCCAGCATCTTCTACAGAAGGCACAACCTATTAGGGGCACAAACAGATGAAAGGGAAGGGCTGCCCACAAGGTGTTTGCAGCCTGGCTAGAAGCAGTAGAACTGTTTTCCAGTCTTGCTTCTGGGACTTGGGAAACATCATCTGTTCATGCTACAAGTACTTGTAAAATGGAGCTCAAATCCCATTTTTCTGGTAATTTACATAGAACTGATACAAGAAAGAGGTTTTCTCTGGTTAAAAGAAAAAAAACCAAACAACCCCACTTCCCAAAAACAACCAAACAAATACAAACATCCCACAACCTATTGCCATTTTCTGTCTGTAGTGTTTTCTATTTGCTAAGGTGGGAGTTTGCTGACATTCTGTATGTGTTCAGGTTCTCTTGATCACTTTTTACCTTGGCTTCTGTTTCAGATGGGGCTCCAGCGTGAAATGCAGAATGACAATAACAAAAACTCACAGAAAAATATTGTCCAGACTACCTTTTTCTTTCCATAAAAATTTCTAAATCTCTTAAGCTGTGGTTACCTGGGAAGCACTCAGAAATGAGCAAATAAGAATTATGCTGGAAAAATGTATGTGCTAAGTTCAGTGATATTTCTTGTGCTTTGTATACAGACTGAGCAAGGGAAGGATTTTAACTTTTTTCTGGTTTTGTTTTCTGTATTTATTCTTTTTTTGTCACACTTTTCAGACCGTTGAAAACTGTGTGTGCATTTTGAGGAACCTCTCATACAGGCTAGCTGCAGAAACATCTCAGGGACAGCAGATGGGAACAGATGAACTTGATGGATTACTCTGTGGTGATGCCAATGGGAAAGACACAGAGAGTTCAGGGTGCTGGGGCAAGAAGAAGAAGAAAAAGAAATCACAAGATCAGGTAATGAAAGTCTTGCATCTGTGTTGCAAATAGATGAATCACTTAAAATATAATTCATTAATGCACATTATTAGAAATAAAATGCATGATGCATAATATACAAAACTGTTGTGTTTGCTGATTAGCTGAGAGCTTAAAACAGAGTATGACTTAAGCAACAAAAGGAAATATGTTTGCTTGAGAAAGTAGCACATTACGTGGTGGCACCTGGAAACCATAGTCATGAGTATGCTGTGAACACCATAAATACTGTAAACTGCTCAGTCTATTGAAGGAAGTAATTTATAATGAAAAGTATAAGTCCACTTTGTAAAGTTCAGGTGTAACCTTCACTGTACTTCCATGCAGACACGTGTGTGTAGAGAGGCCTTGCTGCAAGCAAACATCAGGGTTACCTTTTCATATTTACTTACATCAGTGTTAGTGTTGTATTCTGCCTCTGCATGTTAAGAGAAAACTGTACAGGACTGAATCAAGCAATATGAGGTAATGCTAAAAGTGCATGCATATTTTGATATTTTTAATGTCATTACCAAACAAAGATTGAGAAGTACAGTCTTGATGGTTTCCTCAGGTTATTCAAGGTGCTGCAGGTTTTTATTTTAGGTGTGTTGAATTTCAAGATGTACTTCTCTCTGTGTTTTCCCGTTAACAACCTATAATTTGGGGAATGTTGATAAGGATATTATGGAGAAAGATGGTGTTGTATCAGTACACACACTAAAGAGCAATGAGAATGACTGATTTATGAACTTTTTCACACGACCTGTGCTGGCAGCAGGTAGTTCTCCATCTCTTCCTAGACTTAGTCTTTTCCATTGCTTTTCATTTCTGTTTCAGATTGCTCAAAGAAAATATTCATTTGAGTGAGCAATTAGGCACACAGGGAATTTACATAAATTATGTAAACCAGTATTGAAAATATTCCTGAGTTCATAAAGACAAATTGTGTTAATGTGAAAAAGTTATAGGAACATTAACAAGCTAAGATTGAGGTAATGAGAAACACAGCACTCGTCACTGGTAAGACTTCAATTTCACCTGCTCTTCTGGTTAAGCATTGCAGTCATCAGACAACTTGAATTTATTTTGGCCTTTTGTAGGGATTCCTGTATTAGGCTGCAAGGAGATCAAAAGTGCCAAAGCAAACTAATTTTACCCCATAAAGCAGTCATCATCTCTGTTCCTGAATTAACAGGTCCCACACACTACACTTGCAGTTATTCAAAGTGCAGGAACAAAAATAGCCTGTCTGGATATGGATGGGTCATACTACAACTCGCCTTTTTCTTTTCATGCTCTGTTTACCAACACATGTGCATGCGTGCACACACACTATAGAAAGTAATTTCTAACTCTTTTATAATCCTTCTGTGATTTCTAGATCTCGAGTTCATACTCAACTCTGTACCACTGGCTGTTTCACTGTTTCTGTCAGACTTCTCTGTTCTTTAAAGGTTCCCTACAAATGGTCTTTCTCCTCCCTCAGGCTGAAGAACGAATCTCTTTAGGCTGATTATTTCCTTTACAATATACATTCTTCTGCCTGCTCTTAAATTTATCTTTTGTCTGTTTCTATGAGCTTTCATTATCAGCATGCAGCATGGTAAAGGCCTCTTCAGATCTTCTTTTGTTTTTCTAATGGACAGGCTTAATGTAATTTTTTTAATACATTGAAAAATAAAACTATGCATGTATTTTCAGGTTTATGTTCACTAGGCTTTTTTGCTGCAAGGAAATAAATTTACCTTTTCCAGAACTAATTTTGTGGTGCACAAGACCACTTTGCCTTACAAGCATTAGAAATATTTTTATAATTATTTTTCTTCTTTCATCTCATTTCATTTAAATCTGTATAGCCTACATCATCTTGTCATATACCAGTATTCACCTCTGGCTGTTATTCAGTTCAGAAGTTTAAGGCAGCCTTGTGAGCCTTCTGCAGAGTGTGTTTTTCTCACCCCATGATCCTTGACTGTTGTTGACCATAACAAATATTTTAAAGTATGTTCTCAAATTAACTAGAATGCTGCTAAAAACAAGTGTGACTGAGATCTATCAGTAAGATCACCATGCCAGAAACAGCTCTCCAAAGTTACTCTCATAAATAGAGAATAATATAGATAGAGATATAGATATATATAGAGAATAATGTTTTTCATCTAACTGTGCCTTTATATTAATAACATAGAGCTTGACCCCCAACTTAAACTGGGGTAAGGGTAAAGGTAATTTTTTTGTGCATTTACTTTGCAAAAATGAGCACACAACTATATTCAGCTGGCTTTTTTCCTGGAAACCACCTAGTCCAATTTTGTAAGAAGAAAATGAAACAAACCAAAACACCCCGTGTTCTTTCTGCTTCCTTGGCTCTGTCAATGTCTTGCATTTTTTCAGGACCTCAGTACATTCACTGGTGTTGAAAAGCAGGAGTAACTGGAAACTCAGATGATGATGTTCTTCTGGATTGTGTCACAGTCAGGAATACTCAGTTTGCCTTTTCTGTATGTGTCAAGAAAAATCAGTATTCTTGGGTGTTTTGTTGGGGTTGTTTTTTTCCAGGCAAGAGTCTCTTAACAACAGGATCATGTAGTGTTCCTCAGGTTAGCCACAATTCATCTCATCTAAACTAAGCTCGTCAACACTTTCTGCAGCCTGTAGAATGTTTTCGCGTCCTTTTGCCATGCACTGTCTGCCTATGTGCTGACTGCTGCCCTGCGTATTATGTATATACATATTCTTTTACAGTAATCTCGTCGTTTTTCTGCAAGACTTTTAAATTTTTCCAGGTAATGCCTTTCATTATCTCTTTTCAATTGCAGTGCTTAAGCTGTAACCTGCTGCTTGTTCTGTCCATCAGAACAGATCTCATGCTCTCCTCAGGATGCTGTTTTTAAAGTGCTCATTCCTTTTTAGCGCCTCAGCAGGAAAGCTTTTAAGCTCTGAAATAGCTTATAATATAGTTCTGAAGATCACACTTGTGATAGACAGTGTTTTACATGTAAATAACCAGGGAATACCTATGGAATCTTTAAGATTTACAACATTTGAAACACTGAAAGCAATGCACACCACCATGGATTAGGAACCTGTGGAAGGAAACCTCAAAGAAATGGAAGACAAAAAAGCTATAAAAGTAGTCAGTTTCCCAAATGCCCCATGAAGAGATGGCATTGACCTTCAGGGTACTTTCAGTAGATCATTCATGCCAGACAATACAAACCTAATTACTTTTCAGAGAAGTTCTTCACAAATGTAAAAACAAATCTTTCTTTACACTCCTTATTATTGCCACTTACAGATACACAAAGTGGAGCTCAGCCCAGTATTAAAACTCCAGTCATTTACCTCTGTGATTTCTGTAATACTTGAGAGTTTTTCCCTTCCTGTCAGGCAAAGCATAGGGCACAAACACATCTCTAAGTCTCGCAACAGCTCTGTACAGGGGAGTAGCTTCCAGTTCTGCAGCCTGCTACATTTTATGTCTAACGCAATTGTGAAGTTTCTCTCCTATAGTATGCTTCTTCAGTCTTTCACTTACTTTCTCAAGGGTGTACTTTCTTGAACTCCTCTAATGTGACCAATACAGGCATTTGTGGAGTGGTTTCTAATTTTTGAGTAAAAGTATTCAACTTGTTTAAAAGCTACTAGTAGCAAAACTACTGTAATTGGGCAATTATACCAGATGTATTATTTTAGATGGCGGATGTGGATGAAGTTGCAGATTTCTATACTGAAAAAAAGAAAAAATCCCATACACAGCTAGGGAGTTTGTTTCTTAAACTATAAAAAGGAGAAACCTTCTGCAACATTAAAGTCACTTTCTCTTTGGTTTCCTCTGTGAAAAAAGAATTTATGTTTTATCATTTAAGAAACAATTATCCCTATTTCTACAGGTTATGTTTCAGTTGTAGTTGCACATAAGTTACTTGAGGAGAAGAACAGAACTGAGTGGTAGTATAAAATGTGGTTTTCTTTGAAAAGCCTTTCAAAAACAAATTGGAATAAATTTTTCATTAATGATATCTGTTGTCGATACCAATGACAACTTCTCTACATCTCGAAATTAAATAGAGGTTTCTTTGTTCAGTTCATAGTTAAGTCTAATGACACCTTTCAAATTACTTTACTTATGGAGTTCCCTTAGGATCACAGGAAGTAAGTGTTCTCCTTATTTCAGTATGAAGGTGGGTGGTGTTACAGAAGCCCACAATCCTGCCTCTCTTCGGTGGTTTACCAGAGGTCAGACAGGTTCCTGAAGCATATGCTTTGTTTAATACCAGAAGAGACCCAAACCTTCTAAAGAATTGGGATAAAAGCCAGGTATAGCATTGGTATTATCCACAGAAAAACAGAAAGCAAAACATCTATAAAGGCTGCAAGAAAACTAAGTGAGGCTCACCTGACTTTATTTCTGTCTCAGACCCCAGAGACTGTGATTCTTTGCTTTCTTCATTCTCTTCTCCCTGCTGATTACCTGTGATTAGCTGTGACAGGGCCTTCATCCCACAAAGCTCTCCAGCTATAGAGGCCTTCATCTCTGACTAGGACACCACAGACATCGACTACTCTCTCGTATCCTGTCACTCTTCAGATAGAAATTCTTTTTTCCACTGCTGAAAATTTTGTCACCACTGTTGGTATGCTCATTGCTGCTAACAGGTTTATCCTTTGAGCTGTATGAGAAACAAGGATTATGACAAAAAGCAGTTACGGAAAATAAGGTGTGTGGTCCAATTTCAATAAAAAAGAGCCAGGGAGTTGTCATTATTCCTTATTTTATTTCTTGTTATACAGCCTCTTACATACACATGTGGCACCAGTTCATTTCTTTTCCTTTCTTCACTAAGAAGAAACAGGCTGACTTCTTGGCTTTACCCACCTCTCAAGTTCCCCATCTGTGATCATTCTTGTCACCTCAGAACCTAGCCCAAAATCTGATTTTGGATTGGATGTGACACTTTTGAATTAAGCCTGACCTTCTTTCTCACCTTCTGTCA